TAGATTCATCAGCAGACTGTCCTCCCCGTACAGGTCGTCGTTCCTGCGCAGCGGGGGGAGCGTGGCCTCCCTGTTCAGGCGGTCCAGGGCCGGGGCCCTCCGGAGGATGCCTGTCCTCAAATGGAACTGGGTTTTCAGGAGTCCTGAGCGGCTCCTTCAATACGGCCTCGTCCCCATTGGGCTTCTCTTTGCTGCGGCTCTGTCTCCTCTGGGGAGGCGTACCGGCGGTAGGGGTCTGAGGAGTGGGCGTGGCGTCTGGTCGGGGAGTGGGGTGCCGAGGAGCGGTGGGGGGACCTGTGGCGGCGGGGAGCGGCGGGGGAGAGCGGTGCGGGCGGGAGCGGTGACCCGTTCTGTTGGGGAGCGGCCGTGGCGTTGGTCCCCCGTGAACGACCGTCCAGGTTGTTGTCTGCCTGGCCGTGACCGGCTGCTGCACCTTGTCAGGCGAACGGTGGCGGCTGCGGTGGTGTCCGGCTGGAGTGGTTGCGGTGGCCGTCGTCCTTCCTCTTGTCCTTCCCGTGGACTTTTCCCCCTTGTTTTTTCCCGTGCTGGTTCTCTTGTTGGGGGAGCGGTGGCGGGGTTTGGAATGGTGGGCTTGCGGGTCCGGCAGAGCGGCTCGGCTCCTTCTTGCTCCGGGATGGTTGTTGGGGTTCTGGTGGGTAGCTTAACTCCGATGGGGCGTTGGTCGGGGGCAGGGTGCTCACTTCCGCAGCGTTTTGTAACCCTGAGGCTGGGTTGGCTGCGCTGGTGTCGTTGGGGCTGCCGTCTGCAAGAGTGTGACATACAGACGAGGGAATGGGGATCAAACATGCATCCTAACTGCTTTCACATTAACCATGCTGAACCACTCAGACGTGAAGCTGAGAACATTTCCAATGGAAGCCATTCTGATGTTAATGCCAGCAAAGATGGCTAGTTGTTAGATGGCACAGCGACAGCCAATGGTAAAACGTTAGTGTAGCTTACACATGAGAATACAAAGGCAGTGACACAAAGGCAGCCGTTGCTTGAGGAGACTGGTTGCCCACAACAAACCTGTTCCCGGGTCTACCTGGGGTCACCTCTCCCTGAGGCATTGTGGGACTTGGCTGGTCGGTCTGCCGGACTGGAGGCCGGTTACAGTCAGTGCCAATGTGCTGCATGTTGATGACGCTGCTCGGTTGTACTGATTAGCCATGCTCTTTCATGCACTGTCATGATGCCTTAGACACTTTGTAGATGTTTAAAGCAAATTAAATGCTGAAGATGAGAGACACAAACTATTGCTATATTGCATTAACAGCGTGTGCGGTTTAGGTGGCATTTCACAAGAAGAATTAAATGGTCTGCACATTTTTAACTGTTACCTTAAGGAATTTCATTCTGTTAAGGCTCACTAAATCATCTACATAAGCAGCCACCAAAATGTTTTGTATCAGATTCTTAGGATTAAATCTTACCGTTCTAGTTCTACCCACCCAGTTTGACTGTAAATAGCTCTTCAGGTCTACATTTTAAGAAAAGACTACAACCATAGGTAACAACTAGCAATAACAGAGGCTGTTCTCTGATGGTCTAAAGTAGTGTGAATACCTATTTAATAACTTTTTAACAGGAATATTCATTTCACCTTTGGACTTGTGGCCCAAAGGTGAAGTGCAACTGGTGCAGACATATGAATAACGTATCCATAACAGCGGCTACGACAGCGGCGGTACTGGCAATGCATTTTTGGTGAATGGATTTGTATGCATGGAGTAGAGCACGGGCATGGGTGAGTTGAGCCACACCACACTGAGATCAGGATGGAGAAAGAGAGAGAAAAAGAAAGAAGTGGGAGGAGGCAGAGCCAGACGACAGGGGAGGACAGTTACAAACCGTGGTCTGATTTTGGAGGACAGAGGCCTCCCCCATCTTGTCATTTCTCATACATGCAGTGAGATGGGGAGCGACCATCCCTGAAGGAAGACAAGAGCCCAGCGTAATACGGGAAGAAGGGAAGATACAAAAACAGAAAAAAAGAGAAGAGCACAGGGTTTAGATCGCTTTGGAACTTGAAGGAAGAAAAAGGAGAATTATTGTGTTGATTTTTTCAATGAAAAAAATGTGTTTATTTGATCGTTGAGTCATTCAGAAGAAAGAAACAGTCCAGGGAGTTGCCCAAACCCTTCAGTGGAAACCATCAGTTACAGAGAAAGGTCCCGAAACCAAGCGCGCACACACTCAAACACACAACATGTGGACACAGAAGCAGCAGAAACCTCAGAACCTCAAAAATAAAGACAGTGAGACTTGCACACCCACAACAACAGCGTATGAAGCAGTTTTACATTGCAGACAGAAATCAAAAGAAGTACTGGCAAGACTGTCAAAGGTAGTGCCAACTAAAAAGTACAAACAATGATCCAAAATATACAAGTTCACATGATGCCATATCGGTGCAGGTTAAGACAGCACATTCTTAGCACAACAAAAAAAAACATTACATTGATGAACTTTTCAAGACAGGCAAATGTATCTCCACTCAAAAAAAAAACAGTAACAAAAAGAAAAAGAAAACATTTATGATGACTCGTGACTGTCAATCAAAACTGGTCAATACGATTAAAAAAAGAAAGGTTCCATAAATATTATGGAAAATAGACAATAGAAGGGAAAAAAATCCAATTTACACTTTTGACAAGTTCATGCAGCAATAGACTTTTATCCATTAATATGTGGCTTCGATTCATGGCTCTGTACATGGAACAAAAATACTTGTCTCTATTCGTTTCATCACTGTACAAAACGTCTATATAATTGGAGCAACTCTTTCTTTTTGAATGGGGATGGGTGGAGTTCCTATCGTCACAGCTTTTCAATGACATTTACAGTGGGTGCAAATAAAATCCATGGATTAGTGAGTAATGTCAAGCACAGTATAGTGAGATTTTCTCTTTGAAATGGCAAAAAAATTAAAATAAAAAGCATCAGATTGCCTTTTCTTCTTAATACAGTTCTCACTTAAAACCCTTAAGAGTTCAGTAGCTTACATTCACCTTCAATAAATATCATAAATACGTTTCAGTCGCGTCCTAACCAAAAGCTGCGAGATGTCCCATTTTATCATGGGATGCAGTGGATCAAGTTTTCTTGTCCTCTTAACGCTAAATTAGTGTTTAATGAGGATTTGGAGCCCTCAGTATTACCTATTACCCACAAGAAACATTGATTTTTCACTACTCTGGTCATTCAAACCCTGTAAACAGTTTCTGTTTTCATGTAGCACTGAAATTAGACCCACCACCTTTCTGTGAAGTCCAAGCAGAGTGCCAGAAGGTGAAAAGTGACAGCGGGATGACATGGAAACTGAGAGCAGGTGACAGCAGGAGGGGGTAACAGCACCCACAGGAGCACCTCCACCCCTGCTCTCCCCCAAAATCCCATAGCCCAGGAGTGACCTCCACCAGAAAGACACCCAACACCAACCAACCCTCTCCCCCTGCCTGGTGGGTTTGTCCCCGGGATGGGTGATAGGTCCTGGGAGGGTAATATAGTTCTTTCCCCTTCGACCCACCACCGTCCACTGGGCGGCCCCCTGGCTTAGGGCGTGAAGATGGGGGAGAAGGGAATGTTTTCGTAGATTGACCCACCATATTCAGGCACCGAGCCGTCACCCCTCTTGAGCACCAGATGGGCGCGCCGGCCTCCGCTCTTGATGAGCTCGATGGCGCGCGCGTGCTTCATGCCCTTGGTGCTCTCGCCGTTGATCTCCAAGATTTCATCTCCGACCTACGGAAAGGGAAGAAGACCAGGAAGGAAAGGAAGAGAAGGAGTAAAAGGTAGGAGGCAGAAAAGAGAGACAGAGTGACAGATGGAGATGGAAGGGAGAAGAGGTAAATCAGAAGGGAAAAAGGAGAGACAGCCAAGCCAGAAAAAAAAAGAGGCGACGGCACAGCAAGACAGAACGCAGAAAACAAGTGACAGTGGGGAAGAAAGTACACAAGAGGAAAGATGAGAGGCACGAAGGTTCAAAGGGACACAGTGACAGCAGAGAGGAAGGAAAGGGAGGACAGATTGAGGAGACGTTACATATGGAATACTCCAAACAGTAAACCGAACAACAGCAAAATTTTTTATCTAAATCAACAGTTTCCAGAGAGGGCAAATTGCATCGGAAAAGCAGCGACTGAGAAGCTGAGAGAGGGGAAAACAGGAGCAAGAAGAAACACTTTTTGCTTCCTGATTCTTTGCCTCCACGCCTCAAGTCATCCCGTCAGTGCTGTCTGCTCCGAGGGAATTCCTCTCTGGCAGAATATGGATTTCTCACTGACGCCTCTCTCTGCCTCACAGAGCTGCTACTATTAATATCTCTAGCTAATAAGGTGTGCAAACACAAAGGTATGTATTCATATATGCATGTACAAATGTCCTAATGCATGCGCACCCACTCATTTCCAAACTGTAGCGTATTAACACACACATATATATATATATATATCAAAAACTCCCTTGTAGCTCAAATGCATACATTATCTGCTAAAAGGCTGTCTAATACACATTGAAGAGAAACAATTAACCCCACATTGTATATTCAATCAAGCAGCCCAGGGAAAGTGCCATTGGCTTATGCAATTAATCAGAATAAAGGTTAAATATTACAGTTTCATGACAGCTTCTGTAGCATGTATGAACACCATTTTACAAGCTAGTGGGGAAATGTTAATTAATTAAAATGTACATATTCTGACAGCGGGTATGCTCCGTGACTCTGAAATGTCTTGTGTTTTGATACTGCACTCACACAGTGAACCCTCGTACGTGCCTAAGCCTGGAGGCGACAGTGTTTATATTCAGTGAAATAGAGCTTGCAGTAATTGGGAGGTACATTATGCACAAGCAATTATATTGATAGATAACATTATTCTGATGACTGTGAAGTCTGTGAAGCAGTATCATCAGCCCCTCCTGTTAATCAACACACTCAAATGGCTTACACTGCACCTGAAAGCAGGGAATTATCATATTATAATCAGTGCATAACAATAGCCAAAATTGAATAATTTTGTTTTCGACATGTTGTGATGAAAGTGCGGAAATGTGCAGCACTGTCCAATGAAAAGCACAGTGATTTTGTGAAGTGTTTCTTCATGGGTTGAGAAAATCCACAAACTTAAAATTTAAATAAACCATTTAAAAACCAATTAAATTATTATTTGACATTGGGATTTTGGACATACATGCACATGTGTCTCACCCAGCTCATACATAGTGTAATACCTGAGTCCTCATCTTCCCCTTCTTACTGTTTCCTAACATTTACAGTGATGATTAGCAAGTTGTGCCCTGATTCAGAAATTCCCCAGGTATGTTCTACACACAAGATGACATAAAAACATGAAGCTACATGGTTGCTTTAGTTAGCTGAACTAAAACAGTAACTGTCCATTTATGGGCCATAATAACCGAAAACAGTCCAAATGGAAAAAGGACCCCAGGGGATCCTTTGGGTGCAGAAAGAATGCAGCTTAGTATTGCTATAATGTAAATCATTTGGAATTATTCCAGAGACAGAATAACAATTGCTATATTTAGTTAGTTGCATATAACCTTTATTTAATAAAGTAAGGCCCACTAAGAGTAAGATCTATTTTTTAAGGCACACAAGAGTACGTAGAAAAAATTTAAATATTTTATAATTGAGTACAACAATAAAGGGGTGCTGCAGGGAATTAGTCATACAGTTCCACAATTTGATGATTTTTGGTGTGTGAATATTTTCACAGTGTTAGTACATTGTGTCCGTACCCTCATCTTTCCGTTACGGACGGCCGCTCCGTCCTCAGCTAGCCTCAGCACGTACAGGTCCATGTTGTATTCTCTGCCTCCCCGCAGGCTGAAGCCAAACCCTTTGTTGTCTCGCTCCAGGTCCACTGAGTAGAACTCAGCATCCTGATGGAGACAGACCGCACACACACACACACACATGGAAAGAGAGGGAGGGAGAAAGACACATTTGCATCAAGGTTTGTGATTCAGGTTTGAAGTGTGTGTGTGTGTGTGTGTGTCCTTTGAAGTGGGCAACTATTTCAGGAGCATGGGACAAATGCCACCTTCAGGAAAGTCACACCTCTTTAATAGATAGGCCAGACTCTGTGTGTGTGTGTATGTGTGTACATGCATATGCTCAGGTGTAAGGATGCTGAATTATTGATGCCTTGGGCTCTGTGTGGACAAAGAGAGAGGACACAGACAGAGAGAGGGGGGCCGGGCACCACCACAAGGACAGGCAGACAGCCACTGCAGCTCCTGTCTTCATGCCCTCCTAATCTGCTCTGCTGAGGGATCAATGTTATCTGTGAGAGCCATCTCCACATTGCCAGATTAATTCAGCAGTGAGCACAGTGGACTGAGGGGTTACTTTGAAAGCAAACAGGCTTTCCTTAATGCACAGACTCCGATAACGCCAGCAGGTAGACATAAAGGGGAAGATAAATGTTTAAAAATGTACTTTGTTTGTCCTTGGGAATGTGGGTGGGGGGATTGGTTGTTGCATGAAGGGACAGAGGATGAATGGGTATTGGGGTGCTAGTACAGCTGGCTGGATGTATGAAAAGACTAATGTATAAGTGGGTAGGAAGTTGATGGGATGGAGCGTAGATTGCTGGGGTGTTTGATGGAGGAAATGGATGGATATATACGAATGAAGTGACAGGTGAACAGATTACTGGAGTGTCCTTCCTTACCTGAGGTGAGACTTGTGTTGGGGGTTGGGGAGGAGGGCCTTGTGGGGCTTTAAATTCAAAGGATTCCTGTTTTGGTTTGGTGTTGTTCCTGAAACAGAAATATGACAGTCAGAGTGAAATTAATGTCCCCCACCACACAAACGATGCTTTCTTCTTGTTTCTACAGTTGGATGTTTGAGCTCTATTGTACAGAATGATGTATGTGCAAAGTATGACACTAAAAGGATTTTTTCACATTCATCTACTGAAAGTGTAAAGTTTCCCTGTGCTCATTGAAAATCCCATTTTCAGGGGTGGGCCTACAACAATGACATCAAAAATTGTTTGTAAGCCAGTCCCGGTCTTATATTCAACTTGAATAAGCATAATGTGGAAACTTGAAGCCTCCAGCGCACATATTCACGGAAAATGGACTTTACAGTGAAGTTCTGCTGTCCAGAAGTTGAATTTATACTGATAGATTACAGACCTTTTAATGAAGGAGAAGTAGAAGATGTAATTTTGATAAGATTATTGAACTTACCAGATACAAATTATTATTCAAAGTAGAGCAATTTATATACATGTTAAAACATGTCTGGAGGAGACCTTTAATTTTAGGCATGAAATTAGCATATTTTGACACTTCATCTGAAAAAGGTTCTGCTGCCTTTTTAAAGGACTATACTAGTTCTGTACAAACACTCAATTTCCCAGTGCCTCTTACCTGGCCTCCGGTGCAGCCTGTTGCTGAGGTGTGTGAGTGGTGGTTATAGTGGCAATCTTCTCTGCATTGGTCAACAAAGATGCATTTGATGACTCTGAGGAGGGTGAGAGAAGGAAAGGGTTGCTGTGACTTTTCCCAAAAGCATGCTAACATGCTAACATGCTCATAATGACGATGCTAACATGCTGACGCTAAATGTGTATAAATTTCACTATGTTCACCATCTTATTTTAGCGTGTTAGCATGTTAACATTTCGTACTATGCACTAAACACGAAGTACAGCTGAGGCTGATGGGAATGTCATAAATCCAAGTATTGGAAATTAAAAATTTGGACCTGATGATGGTACTAAATAAAAAGCTAAGGGATCACCAAAGTCATTACAATTCATCCTGAGGGAAATATGAATGTGTGTGCCAAATTTTGGGACAATCCATCCAATGTTAATGATATTCATCCAAAACCATAAATGTCAACCTCATGGTGGCACTAGAGGAACAGGCAGTGGATTACCAAATTCACCAGTGTTCATCCTCTGGTTATTATGAATATTTGTTTCAAATATCATGGCAATCCATAATATTTGTTGAGATATGTCAGTCTGGACCAAACTGGAGGACCAGACAGACAGACAGACCAGCTCATCGTCATCCATAGAGTCATGCTGCTAACAAAAAATTTTGCTTTTGAAGAATTGATTAGCATAAGGCAAACTATTGCTTTTCATGTCAACCAGTCAGACAATCCAAGAACCTTTCTACCTCATGGAAATAAAAAATGCTACACTGAGTACATTTTATTGACATTTTCTTTTTCCATACAGCTTATACTTATAATTTCCATAAACATTCTCCAATAGAGGTGTCTCTGGAGTTCTGGAAGACTCTGCGTGATGGACTTAAATCCATATTTCACACCATTTTTCAGTGTGAACATTGGTTTAGATTCAGCAGCTGTCAGCTACAAACATTAACTGACCCGCAGGGACCACCACCAGCTCCACCAGCCTCCACGCTTTCTCCACCACTTAGTCAAGATCTGGGACACCAGAATAATACAAAGGTTTACATTTGAGCTATCAATCTTTTTGTCAAGGTACTTGTCAAATTGAGTTTCTTTTCCAAAAGGTGTACATCTCAATGCGGACTGAAGCTCCTCCTGTCTGCCTGAATTGTCAAACAGGAAACGGATACACACACTTGCAGCCTCTAGGGACATAAAAGCCGCTGGTTATTCTGTCTTTTATCTCAACACTGATTCAATCATTTTGTGGTATCAATGAATCGTGGTGCTCCACTGACAAAAACAGACCATCATTACACAACTCTTGCTGCATAAAGAAACCTTTCTTCTCCTTAACAATCTCCTCTTTCTTGGCCATTTACAGGTATCTTATTTGATTACTCTCCACTACTCTCTTCTAAGTCCCCTACTCGCTATTCCTCTCACGGTTACCCCGCCTCCTCACATCTATTCATCTCCTCCACCTCCACCAGTCCCCTTGGAGCCTGTTGGCTTAACCCTTTGATTACCTTCTGCCCATGAGGTACAAAGTCAACCAATCAACCCGCAGCGTGGGTGGGGCGAGCTGCAATTCGGTTGAGGAGAACCCTCTAGTTCTGAGTGTACATGAGTGTGTGATGAATGTCTCAGGTCGGCCCTCAGCATGAGGTCCGTGCAGAAAACACGCCCATAGGAATGTCTTTGGCATAAACCGTGAGCTGTGTTACAATCTCACATATATTCTGCTCATTTCTCACTTTCGCCAGCCTCAAATTTGTCCCCGTAAACCCTATTCGCCCCTCCATCTGCTCATTTGCATAACACACCTCCCTCCATTTATCTCTCCTCTGTTTTCTTTCTAGAAATGAATCGAATAAGCTCAGTTTCTCTCTCTCTTTCTGTTACGCTCGCGACCCACTGCCTCCTATCTCCTCTCTTGCTTAAAGACATTCATGGCGCAAAGAAAAAGCACTGAGCTGTTTCTGTAATTTTTCTCTCTGGCCCTGGCAATATGCCGTCCCGCCCTGAATGGACTGAGATAGGAACAAGAGCAGATACAATCAAAATGAGAAAATCAGGAGAGAGAAAGAGGAGCGTAGAGGGAAAGAAAGGGAGAAGAGATAAGAGAAGTGTGAGGGCTGTACTACACAATATACTCCAGGTTTTGCAACAACAAAAAAAGGCACGTCATATCACCTCCAGCATTTTTGTCTGCCTTCTCAGACAGGAAGCAATGAGGTGCTTGGTTTGCGCCTCGAGTCTATGCTGCAGAGACACAAGCTTTGATGAAGGCATTAGCTGTTTGTGCATGCATTACTGCGCACCAGCAGGAAGAGTACCATGCCTGTTTTCCTTGTCATTGCAGAAGAATTGAGTATCAGTCACTACAAAACTCCATCTATGTTCCCACACAGGAGAGAGGTGAGCTCAATGGAAAGTAGCTGAACCTGACTTCACCTTGAAGAACCTCTTGGTTTGGTTCTTGTTCATGTCAGAAAGTTTAGACGGGACTGATCCACACAAAAATAGGCATGCTGCTCAGTCTTGTGTAAACAGAGGCAGAGAGAACAGTCACTCAGAGACACAACTTAGAAACACAAGACACAATCTTTTCCTGTCACTCTCTCTGTGTCCGTGTCAGACAGCGTCTGTTTGTTTGACACATGCACATAAACACAAGCCCGAAGTTTCCGATAAAGCATATCCAGTTATTTCTCTGAGACGCCTTCTCTCCTTGCTGTCTGTGTCTTCTTGGCAGAGCAATTCTGGCTCACTGTTCTCATCAAGCTCTCCACTGCAAAAAAAACCGCTTCATCCATAAGAAGTGAGCCGGAAAGCAACGAGCGGCGGACAAATAGCTCCAATTTCTACCAGAGCGCAGGTTGACAGGGAGTATTGCCTTCCTCACACACACACACACACACACACACACACACACACTTAATTAAACAGTATTTGTGAAGCATGCCAGGGTGATCTGTCAGAACAAAGTAGCGAGAGCTCTCAGCTGCACAGCACAACATACAATGTGCACAAACTTTCCCTTAAAACCACTTTGACAAAGACACACACACACATACAAACATGGCGGAAGTTCACCATCTCTCTCTGTATCTTACACACATGCACACACACGTCTATCTATTACTTAAAGGTACTGGCATGCCGAAGGCAGAAATGCGAAGGCTGGGAAACTAAACCCAAATATCCCCAAAGAAGCAGTTCTGTCAACACTGCGGGCGTTCTACTCACCCTGAAAGCAAATGAAGTGCACCTCAAATACACTCAGACTATGTAATAATACTAACAATAGTTGATGATTGTATTGTATAACTTCCATTAGAGTCCTACTGAGCAAAACCACTTGGACAACCTCAAATCATGAACAAGCTCTAGCTCAACAGTTTGGCAAAAAATTGATTTTTGACTGAAGGCTATGATTTAACAGGATATTTTCAGAATGTGTTGGTCAGCAAAATGCCTCGACCCTTGAAGGCGCCTTTTAGGTTGCTGGGTCACCATTTTGGCAACAATTTATCAGGGGAATAGAGACTTTTATAGCTTATGATAAACTAGTCCTTAATTATTGTTCTCTACTCACCGTCTCCGGGAATGATGCGTAGTGTGACGGTGTTCCCGGCCTCCTTGATGAGGTTGACGATGTCAGAGTGGGACTTGTTGGTGATGGAGCATCCGTTCACAGCCAGGATGCGGTCGCCGACTTTCAGCTTCCCACAGCGGTCTGCTGGGCTCCCCTCAATGATGCGCCCTATTTTGTGGGGCATGGCCACACATGCATTGCCAGCTATGGTCACCATTGACACGTTGTGATGTGTGATTTAGTGTTTGTGTGTTGGTGATGTTGGATTGCGTTTTGGAGAGAAAGAAGGAAAAAGAAGGGGAAAGGAGCAGAAAAAGAGAATCAGAAGGTTAAGCGTTAATTTACTGACCGCCAACAGCCAGCTGAGCCAAAGCCAAAGAGAAGCTGATCAGGAAAACGACAGAACAAAATGCAAGCGTTTGCAAAGAAATAAGAGAATGCGTTCTACTGTAGTTTTCAATACTTTCCCCCGTAAGTAGCTTTTTCAAATGAATCACTGGAAAAACAAAGCTCAGTTCTCCTCCACCCTCCAACCCCCATTCCTCTTTTACTTAAAGCTGCTCCGGAACAATATTCTATAACAGGCATCATTATTGCATTTGTACGGGAGTCTCTCTGCAGCAAAAAGCTAATAATGAAGGAAATGTTTTTGTGTCGTCTGCATCCCAAATACCTGCACCTGCAGAAAGTTGGAGACGACAAACATACATCAGAGCCGACATCTCACCAACTACCCTGAGGTCTCTCTGTCTCTCTTTCTCCCTCCCTCTCTCGCTCTGCAGTCTGACAATCAGTCACTGCAGAGAAAAGGAGTGTGCAATCACTCCTTTCTTACTCCATCTTCTTTTTCATTAGTATTCGTTTCTCCCTTTAACCATCTTCCACTTTATTCCACTACAAACTTGTCTTACCCCGACCTCTTCCTGTCTTTACTGAATCTAGCTGTAAAATATTGAGTGGAAAGTAGATGACAGAGAGATAGAGGAAAGAAAGACCGAGGTGCTGTAGCATTTATGAACAAACTAAAGTGCTTCTCCAAATACGAACAGTATGAGTGGACTCGTTTCTGACACCATCACCGCTATGAAGAAATTACATATTGCAAAGAAACAACTGAGTTTGAAACTTTCATGTAGCTGATGTGTTTCCATTAGATTTTACATGTCAGGTCAAATCAAATACAGCTTATCTGCTTGCCTATGCGTTCTACTCTGGCCTGTGAAAATGAAGCTTTGCCACTTGTAAGCCAACCTGGAAAGTTGAGCATTTTCAGGCCTTTTCAGTCCACCCACACTGACAGAAATAAGAGCAAAGAGAATAGTGAAATGCCATAGTGGTAGGGCAAAGAGTGCGCTGCATTGAAAAGACACAACTAATTTGTAAAAGGCAAAGTAGAGTCAATTTGAACAGCTTTATATGACAGGTGTGTGAGATCAAATAGCGGAAAACATTGTAGTGTTGAAAAACTCAGATATTACAGTATTTACTATCAGCTAAGTGATGCAAAATAACCCAAACTATGTAGACAATGTGACTCTGAGGAAGTGCATCTCTCTGCTCGCAGCACTCATTCTCATTAAGCTATCATTAGGCTTTTAGTGCCAACCTGCTGGGCAGAAGCCATTTAAGTTCAGCTGAATAATACAAATGCCTTATGTAAGACCCACTTCACTTGTGATCAATTATGAAAGCCTTGTGTGAGTGTAGCGGCAGCTGCAGGCGAAGAAAGGGTTTCAGTGTCTTGGTTTGACAGGCTTAGACGAAAATGAGAAAGAAGAACCATTTCTTTGAAGAGTGTTGGTATTGATCTGGTGAGACTGTAAATAGCCAGAATATGTGTTGGTTGTCGGGCTATTTAGTGTTCAGCGGTTTTATGGATAATACAAAGGCAGCCCATGAAGAAGATAAAAAGATAAAAGGCCCCAGCGATGAGGGAAAGCTATGGTGTGTGTTTCATGTTCCGCTGAGTGGAACTGATTTCTGCAATATGTGCATGTGCAATCAACAACGTGTGCCGGAAGATAACATTTAGAACACTCCAAACAGAAAAGAGTGATCTCTTACCGAAGGTGGTGCCGGCTTCAGGCCGCGACACCGAAGAGACGATGACAAAACCGAAGCCTTCGTTCTCGCCACGGCGGATCTCTACGTCATAGGGCTGCAAGGAGGACACGACAGTGGAGGTGGCGTTGGGGGGCTGAGAGGAGGTGGTGGCAGCTGCTGCAGCGACCACGGCATTGCCGCTTCCTCCGGCCCCTCCGCCCCCTCCCCCGCTGCCAATGCCGGAGGTGGAGCCGCTGCCTGAGCTGACGGTGTTGAGGGAGTTCTGGCTGCCCTGCGGAGTGCGCTTCCCTATCTCCTCCGTCAGGCTGGGCGCCTGGGTGCTGCTGTGGTGAGAGGACGCCGGAGATGGAGGCACGTCTCCCTCTGCTTTAACTAGAGATGAAAGAGGAGGATATGGTGAGAATGATGCAGATATACAGTGAAAGCTGGGAGAGGAAAGTGCGGAGAACAGGGGAGAAAGATTTATGGAGTCGATCAAGAGGAGAATGAAGATAAATAGATACAAATTAGGCCATCCAGTGTTACAAGAAGTTTAGGAGATAAAAAAAGAGAAAAAACAGAGTAAGAGACCGGTGAATAATAAAGCAAGATAACATTAAAACAACACTGTCAAGATATGAACACTGCAAAATGTTATATCATCTGTACAATCAGAAAATATATTGTAAATAAACGCAAACACTTTTTTCTTCTAACACAGCTACTTTATGTTGATATGATAAAAGACAAGCCAGCGAGACAGCTTGGGGAGAAGAGCCTCTCCAACAATCTCTTCTCTGATCTGTTTTGAACAAAAGATGAACTAAAGATGCGGGCTGTTGTATCTGGACATTTCATTCCACATTTCATTTCCTGTACAGCTGCTCAAGGAAGGCACCTCATATTCTTGATGCTCTGAGGCAGACGGGGAGCAGCAATGCACTAATGTCTGGCCGCTGTCATCGGGCCGAAGGTTGACCACCCTCTCCATCATATTTATGGGTCTTTCTTTATCGCCTGCTGAGGAGCAGAGTGAAGCCAAGCAGAGCGGTGAAAAGGCAGTGATGGGCGGGGGCGTTTGCTCGTGGTAGCGGCTGAGCGCTTCCTACACACACCCAGACTATTAAGGCAACCCCTGCACATAGTAAGCAGGTCCCCGGGCCCCTGATGGAAACTGCGATGAAAATAAATGGGGCTCTTGGCGATGTAAAGTACAGAGTTCTTTTCAGCAACAGAATACTGTTGGACTGTAACAGCAGAGGCCGTAATGATATAATGGAATCAGAGGCAAATTAAGAAATAGGATTATGTTTGCAAAATGGATTCATGACATGAGCACAATTAGAGATTAACTTTGAACCCTCTGAAGTTATAATACTTAAGATCTTTACTAACAATAACTATAACCATTACTGATACTCTTCATGGTTTGCATTTTTTCAGCAGAAGCCATTTAATGTGTTCACATTCAGTAATTATAGCCATTCCTGCATCAAATTCAAGTTTCCTTCACATTCACATGCAAGTTTATCTCATTGATATTAGCCTCAATGTTTACTGTTCACTCTCTTTAACAGTGTCAATGCTGTATTAAGTGACAGCCGATGCACACAGATCCTCCAGCTGTTGCTACTTCACATTAGAAGGCTTGAGCCGGTGAAACTGGTTCTAATCCTTATCGTTCTTTAAAAATGCACCTACAGAATAAGACAAGAGCAATTTTCTGCATTTCTAAATATTGCGGGGAGTCATGGAATGAGAAGGAGCAGTTGCTGTGAGCTGTCAGATAAGGAGTTACGTTGGAGTTACAGGCGACAGGCTGCATACCTCCAGCTTCTAGGTGATTGTCTCTAATGTATTTGCCATAATTCAAAAACCCTGATCAAGTTTTTGAACTCCAGCCAGCACAAAGATATTATGGGAGTGGTTGAACATAGACTTTTCAGAACATGTCAGCAGGTCTCTAACACGCTAGGCTGCTCTTTCATCTTCATCCCTTTTGCTTCTTACCGGCGTAGCTGGTTTTGCGTCGCACCGTGAGGTTGACGTGGCCCTGCTTGGCAGCCTGCTGCATCAGTTGCACCACCAGTTGGTGCGACTTGCCCACCACAGCTGTGCCGTCCACACATATCAGTTCATCGCCGGACCGCAAACGTCCATCCTCGTCTGCCGCTCCGTACTTCACTATGTGGCCGATGTAGATCTGGAAGACAAAGAAAGTAGATGGAGGAGACTGCTGAGACTGTGTGTGCAAATTTAGATCACAGACAGAACCTATGTGCTATAGATTTTTAGAAAATGTAGGCAGTAGGCATACAATTGGCTAGCAGTACAGGTCTGCTAGAACCCTTCAGACCTCACTATTTTATTTCACTACTCTTATTTCCAGCCTGCTACAGTAGTCACCCGAGCCAGGCTATAAAGTAGATCATTATTTTTTTCTTCCTTCAAAAAAGTGAACAAGAACAAACGGCGTTGCTACTTTAAAAAACAGAAGCAAAAAGTGGTGTGTGAGTGAGATGGGTGGGTTGTAAAAATCACTGATATGAATTTGTCTGCGTCCAACACAGAAGCTCAAAACTACACCAAGGAAGATAAGTAGAAAAACAGATCTGATGAAAAATCCTATATATGCTGCTCAAACTAGTGCTGGTCCATTTCATTAGTCAGGATACTGAGTCTTGTCAGTTGCAGTTCACTACATTTCACACAAATATATGGTGAAAATTGAGGAAACTGAAAAATAGAAAGAAAGAGCTCTGAGAGATACAAAGAATGTGAAAGAAACTTACCGGCTCTCCTGGCTCATTGCCTCCAAGGATCCTGAAACCAAACCCTGTGTCCTTCCTCCACAGGAAAATGTCCTGCTCCTGGAAGTCTGGAACTGTAAAATCAACAAACCACTGTTAACATTTATGCATTAATACCAACAGCCTGCCCAGGGGAATTCCTGTGCCTGCACCAGTAAAGGAATCCCTCAATATCACCTCATTTAGTTCAATTAGTTCAATTTCATGCTCTAGCTTTGTCATAAAGAGGTATGGCCATAATGGCTGCACTTATTGTTCTCTGGGAATCAAACCATCCGCCTGCTTATGTCAACATGCAAATATTTGTCCTCCCAACTGTTCCAAGCTTTGTTACTAAGATAGCACTTTGCACAAACAATCTGTCTGGAGGCTTTGGGAAAAGAACAAACAACTGATCCATCAAAAGATTAAAACTGATCTATTTTGGGTGAAGAGCATAGGTATAGAGCTTAAATAAAAAAAATCAAAAGCTAGACAAGATGCCAAAACAGTTCAGAGCACCCTCATTCATTGGTCCCATAATTAGACATGAACAGGCTGAAATTCCACTCTGATGTCTGAAATAGCATATTTTCTTTTAGCTTTTTAAACCATTTTTAGTAATGTTCCCACAGACTGGACATTACTATTCAAATAGACGACACTGTTTCTTTTATGAAGTGATGTGTGACACGCAGCTCCTCCATATGTTGGAGAGCACTTTCCACCCGACAGGGGTGCTAATACATGCTGAAACCGGCTATATATTATTGAGAAGTGTATGACTAGTTTACAGTCCTCTCCCATCCACAAGTGAAAGAATAAAAGAGGCATGGCACTGCAGCGAATGACAGCTCATGGCTCATGTAGCAGTAGAGATGGGGGGGGNNGGGGGGGGGGGGAGAGAGAGACCTTTAGGAGGGGTTACATGGAGCGAGTGTGTATGTGTGTGGCCTCATCTTGGTGGACACATGGGCTTCTTTGCTTTAAGTATGTGTATATTTATTCACGTATGCATGTATGCACAGGCCACAGGGCTGACAAACATGCACCTCTGAGCAAACTCCCGGTGAGATTTCCTTTTGCTCCAACACAGGCCACTGCTGCCAAGGCCACTAAAGCCACTAAGAGACGGCCGGGTGGCAGAAGGCATAAACAGCCTGCTCCCAATCTGTTCCTACAGTCAACAGTTAAAATCCCTGCGGAATGCAGCCATCTCTTCCAATCTATCACAATGTAACTGTGGAAGAACTGGGAGAGGAAGAGTCAAAGGCTAACTGTCGCAATCTGCACCTGCACTCGGGAGGGTCAACTGCACGGGTACACCCTGCTCCCGTCAATTAATAGATCCATAAGTGATCCCCACAGTGAGGCAACTGGGCGTGAATCAATCAATGTTTTACAAAGATGGACGGTGCAGTGCAGGGTTCTGCGCAAGGACTGCAAATAACAAGCACGGATGGTTCAAACAGTGAGGAGATTAAACTGGGAACATCTTAAAACCAGACAATAATCAAAATGAAGGCAAAATAAAGCACGAGCATTAGTTTCCTATCCTCTCTGGCCTCGATTTTTTTGAGCAGGTTAAAGCTGTGTGAGATTTTTGGGGGGGAGATTTTTCTGCAAATGGAAATCGTTCACCACATGTTGTGTTTAAAGACCTTGATCTCAACAGAACTTTTCATTACAGAGAATGTTGCGTGGAGAAATGTGTCTGCCGCAGCCAAGGACTGAGCCCTATGGGGTGCACACAGCAGGATTTTATGGTGAGAGCTCAATGCAGCGTGAGGATGCGGAGGATTTACACCTGCTGGTACAGGTCAGCTGTCCTCCCTGTCATTCTCTCTGTGTCCGTCTCTATTTTTCTACAAGTCAGAATCCCTTGATCCCCCAGTGCTTGACCTTTTTCTTATCCTAACATTTGTCTTTTACATCCCATTTATGTTTTTTGTCACTTCCCTCTTCATTATCCTTCGTGCTCACTTTGCATATCCTCTCATTTGTACTGAGCAAACTGGCTCAGGCAATTTAGAAAACCCCCTGTTGAGACTCCATCTTAGCACAGGATTGTAGACATAATCTGCTCCTAAATCGTGCTTTCTTCCACTTTATTTCCTTTCAAATCAAAGGACAACAGTCCTCAGCCCTTCACGGCGACTTGCCAACAGGCGCCTGCACAGCCCACTTTTAGACCTTCCTTTCACATTCTTCTTCACAGGCATCTAAATAATTAAAGTCCTTGACAAGTAGCTCCTGGGAAAGTGATGAGATGTTAAGGTTTCTCAGCCCTTACACACTCCTGTTTTCTTTTTCTTTCTTTTTTTACTTGACAGTGGATTTAAGTTATTCTTTTTAATTTGAGTTATCCCTTTGCTTTGGCAAGGCTAGACAAGGAGGAGGAGGATATGCAATCCACCGACATCCAGTCCACTATTGCTGCTAATTATACGCCCATGTGTCTCTTTAGGGAAGTCTAGTGTAAAAGTGTGTCAATGGTGCCAGCATCGACAACTGGACCAAAGTGGCATCTAGTAGCTTTTAAAAGACTGGACCAAGAACATGTGGGGGACAACTGCTTCTAATGATGGTCACAAATGACAATAAAATCAATGCCAACTTTGTAGCTTTGAAGAACTGCTTCCAAGGAATAACCAACATTTGTTGGAAATACATGTATACTTTCTTGCAGAGTGTTAGATGAGAAGATTCATACCGCTGTCATAGCTTAGCTTAGCCTAGCTTAGCACAAAGACTGGCTCTGTCCAAAGGAAAACAAATCTGTCTACTGGCTTTAAAGCAACATTTTACTATTTAACAAGGTATATTTTGTCTGTTCAATCTGCACACAAGCAAAAATGTAAAAGTGCTTTGAAAAGCGCCAGGCTGGCTGTTTTCCCCTGCTTTCTGTGTCAGCTAAGCTAAGGTAAGCACCTGCTGGCTCCAGCTTTATGTTTAGTGCAGATATGTGAGTGGTATCGATTTACTTAAGAGAGCAAATAAGCGTTTTTCTCAAAATGCTGAACTACTCTTTTAATTACACATTTAAACAATTACATTTAGTTTAATAATTTTTATTCCGCAATGCTGTTTCCGTCCTTGGTTCAATCATTAGTTCTGTTTTAGAGAGGTGTTAAATCAACTGTGTGCTCAACTTGGAAGTGGCAGTTTATGGTTATGTTAAACTGTATTGCTTTACACTGACTATGATTTTGTCCACCTCAATTATATGAGGGTAGACAAAATAACAGGAACACCTCTCTGCGCAATGCATTTCACTTAGACAGCACCACAAACTACACCCTACATAGATACAAATGAGGATACTTGAATCTACACCTCTCTAAAACAGTATCAACAAAAACATTATAACCTTCATGTAGGTGAGATTTGTTGCAGGAATGTAATAGACTATATAGTTTTAGCGTGGTGTACCAAATAAACTGAGCATATCTTAGAAAGTAAGTCCACATATAACACCCAAGGCACTAAATTGAGACCACATCCCACTCCACAACCCGAACAAGAGCACAAAAAAGGTTGTGTCTTTGTTGTTTTTGTTTAAGCCTATAAACCGGTTACTTACATGCACAAGATTTATCCCTTATCTCAAATCTTGCTCCAAAACGTGCAGTACCATTTAAACACACCAAGGGTCTCCACTGAGCCAACAGCCCCATGCAGCCCACATCTAACTGCCACCAAAAATAAATATACTTACGCCTACTTTCATACATGCTCCTGGACTGGGCCCAAATCTTAAAGGGGTCCGGTTTTCTCTGGATGGTCCCGTCTGCTGGGGAGTCCTGGGGCGGCAGGCCTGGCAGGGGCTGAGAGGGGGGCGGGGGAGCGATGCTCTCGCTGAAAGGGGGTGCCAGGGATGGGTGCACGGGCGAGTCCGTGTGGGTGCTCCGGTGGCTGGAAACACTATGCTGGGAACTGTTCTGACTGTCCTTTCTAGACAACTGCTGTTGGAGAAGCAGATCAATATCATTGGACAACTGAAAGTCGTGAAAATGGAGGCTGAACTGAGAGCTGACAGACAGGAAAAGACAAAACAAAAAGGTTACTGCATGCTCAGCAGTGGAAAAACAAGACGAATTGGGGTTGTGGTTTGTGAGAGGAGAAACAGTGGGATAAAGAATGCTGCTCCATGGGGTAAAGGGAAGTACAAATCTAAGAGTGCATAATGTCAACCATTGTTACGTTGCTACCTTATTCAACAGGAAGACAATCAAGCTGATTTATTCAAAGAATTGTTTTAGCATACAAAAAATAAAAAAAATACTTCAATGGTTTCTCATGATTAAGTCATTCGGCTGTGGGAAAAAAAACTCTAGCTCAACTTAGGAGGGTACATTGCCTATTCCTTTTGTTTAACAGAGTGGAATGTATTAAGAAGGAACTGCATCCCCTGCTGCATATGGAGAGATATCCACAGTGAATAAAGCACTTGTGGGGTTTAAAACGAAGGGAGGATTTTACTAGTGAAGTCAGAAATGTAAAACTCCTCATAAATTGCCACTGGCCCCACAATAACATGGGCACTTAAGCACCTGCTCAAGGATATGAAGGAGTGGTGCTTGAGCAGGGTAAAGCACATGAAATCCCAAGCTCAATCACAAGTACACTGCGAGTACAAGTAAAAATCCCTTCTGTGACCATCTTTCTTTACAGTCCCATTGCCATCATTACTCTGCCGGTTTAAAAAAGAAACCACCAAAGGGAAAGGGTTAAAGCTAGAGCATGGGAAATAAAGGCAGATATTTTAAGACAGTAAGAGAAAATGACAGCAGTTCAGTCCCTTCACATCACGTGACCTCCGAGTACTTTGGATGTGGCAGACAAAAATACACCAGGAAGGGGCGGAGGCAAGTGGCTTATCTGTTCTCGTATATCAAAGTGTTTGGCCTTCAAAGTGCAACCATGTCTTCAATAAATTCGGACTCATTACTCCCTTAATCAGCCTCCTACACCTCTGCAATTCATGTTTATATTCATCAGCCTTGTTAGACATAAAAGAAGCTTGACGCTTTAGCAAATATTAACTTAGAGCTGTGGCTCCAGCTGGAATGCTTACACTACCAGTGTTATCGGCGCAACCTCACTGGATTGTGTGGTGAAGTAAAAATCAATGGATTCACATAATTAGTCACAAGTGCAGGCCATGTTTGGTGGTAAAGTCAGACTTTACTAGACTGACGCTTCCACCTGACCGCAAAATTATTTTTTTGGTCACTTTCATCAACAAAATGGCGCCACCATTAGCCAATGAGGCAGCATTTTTTCTTGTTTCTCTCTCACTTTGATGCACACAAATTCCAAATCCTATCCTCCTTTCAAATGAAAACCAATCTCTTGTTCTTCATGGATCTATTAGATTTGACCTTCTGCAGTCATTGTGTTCTCCCTCTGTGCTCCGGGACTGCTCTAATACATTGGTTTCTCCTGCTCCAATAACTTATTAAGGAGACACAAGATGGGACGGAGGGAGGGAGAGGGGGGTTGGGGGGCAATGAAAACAAATCCCTGTCGCTTCCTCAGCTCAGTCCAGCTTTGCCACTAGCAGGCCACACTCAGATTGGGTGCCTTGATTCATCACAGTATTAGCAGTCATCTTTAGTGTTTTGTTGCACATAAACAGCATTATACAGCCAAACATTATGCTGAGACGTCATGCATTAACACTGTTATCGTTCTGAACTTCTCACCTATATTATCTGCTATAAGATCACTATGCCATCACCATTATCATCTAACACATTACATATCCAGCACCAATACCACCACACCTCACTTTCACCCCATCTAAATGGCATCACATACCCTCCTAATGTAATCTCTGTATGGAGGAGCCAGCTCAAAATCATCCTGGAAAACAAAATTAACAAACATATGTTCAGTCAGATACAGTCAACAGGGTCCCACCATTAATGTAGCATATATCACAGGATGAGGCTGTATCTCAGCTGTGATCATACATTCAACTCTCACACTGCAAGCTTAGCACCCAGCGCGAAGCGATCATCAGCGTGTTAGCAACCCAGCTCACGCTGTGCATCAAAGCCCCCTGTCCCAGCCCCCGCCAGAGAGGAGGGGGCACTGATGTAAAGCCACAGGGATCCACCCCCGCACAGCACAGCATCCCATGTCTACAAACAGACCCACAACATCAGGACAAGTTACACCTTACAGAGGAGAGTTGGAGATGAGGGAGGGGAAGAGAGGCTGTCAAGGTGAGACAAACATCCCTCTGACAGGTACACCGTGTGGATGGGGGACAGAAGAGTGAAGGATGGATGGGAGGGAGGGGAGAGAAACATAGGAAAACAACCACTTACCAGTTTCGGGCTCTTCTTTGCAGGTGCCACTCCTGTGAAGCCAGACAGAAATGGGAAAAAGAAAAAGGCAGAAGGTTACCAATGTAGTTTTGGTATATCATCCATGTTCAGAAAAAAGGAGAACAAAAAAAAAAAAGAAGCAAGGAAAACAGAAACAGATAACGCAGACTCCAAAACAATGTCACAACAGTGCTCATCTAGCCCTCGTCTCCTTCTCCCTTCTTTCTTCTCTTTCCCTGCTTGGTTCGTTTGCTCGCACATCCGCGGTCTGGCGTTTGAGGAGGAAGGGTGGGGAGGAGAGGGTGGTGGTGGTGGTGGGGGGGGGATGTGCAGGCAGCGCGATCTATCTGCATCATTGCCGCGGCCAGCGCTTGGCTTGACTGGTGCAGCGGAAGAGTGGGGCCAGCCCCAAGGGCTACCCCAGCGCTCGCTAGACCCTGGCTACCCAACGGCAGCGCATGCATGTGAGTGAGTGTGTGTTTGAGGGAGGAAAGTGAGAGTTAAGAGGAAAGGACAGAATCCTAGAGAGCAACCAGAGAATAAAGAGAGAGGAGTAGAGAGGAGAAAAAAGCGAGCTGTGCTCTGGAGTTCCTGGCCGTAGCATTACCCATGGAGAAGGAGTCCAAGATACTGAACATTAAATTATAGGCAACCGTCAGTTCCCCTCTTACTGAGACCATCTTCCTGCGTCCGCTGAGCGCCGCGCTCCGCTGTCGAAGGCTCCAGCATCTATAGGCAGTTGCTGTGTCCTCCCAGTCTCTCTCTCCCTTTCCTGCTGCCTTTCCCTTTTTTTCCCCCTTTCTCTCTCTCTCCCTCACCTCACTGCACACTGTCCTCCCTCCCTTTTCTTCCCTCAGCATCATCACCCTCCCTCCCTCTCCTTTCCATCTCAGTCTCCCTCCCACCCCCACATGCTCGTAAACATCCACGCAGCTGCACGCGCGCACACACACGCGCATCAGGCGGCTTTGCGAGGCGCTCCCGACACAAATCGAAGTGTGCTTAAGGTATGACAGACGGGTCTCTGCATGAGTGAGCAGTGACCAGAAATATCATCGCAGAAATATCATTATCACAGACGAGCACACAAAGAAAGACTGACGGATCACTAAAATGCTAACACAGCCTGGATCTAGCCAGAGAAATGTGCTCCTTAAGCACATCACTGCCCTCTCCCCCTCCCTTCATCCCTCGCTCCCTCTCTCCCCCGACTCTGCATGAAATAAACAGTTGTATGAAGTTATGGAAATGAGACCGACAGAAGGAATGCATGAAACAAAGACAAAAATGCAAAGACTCGTAGTGTATATTTACCTCGATAACCTTCACATTCAACAGTGATAGCAGTAAGAACCACACACACACCCCTGACATACGATAAGGGTGTGTCAAAGATGTAAAGCATGAGTGAGACCAGGCGGTGTCTGATCTAAGAAAATGGGCCACTACTGTGTGTCAATCCTTCAGGGAAACTGAGAGGATACAATCTTACACTTCCACACACGCACACACACACACACTCATCTTCTTTATCTCTCAGACATCTGGGTTCATTCACAACTGACAGCTCCAACTGTGCTGCGTCTGTATCCCTTTTTCTTCTTCCTTTCCTCCCCCCTGTGCACCCCCTCCTTCCTCCCATCTCTCCTCTCCCCTTTTCACCCCGATTTTTTTTCAATCAATAAGAATCATTCATTCAGGAGCGAACAATCCCCTAAATCAGACGCATGTACGCATATGCACGCTGTCAATCCTGAGGTATTCTCTCTGGACTAAGCGTCAGTCAAAGTGTCAGGCTAATGTTGATTATCCTTCATCTATCCACTGCAACTGATCTGCTGCTGTTGTCCGTCAATGTCTCTCAGCGAGCTCTCCCTCTTAAGAGTTTCGATCAGACACATTGATACACAAAGCGGACACACCCATGTGAGCAATAAACCGACTCAGACGCGGGTTGATTCAGGTCTTCGTAATACACGTACCTCAGAATTGATACTATAACAGCAATATTACCAAATGAGATATATATTAATCTAAAAATACAGAAATCAACTAAGATCTGAGGCCTTGATGCCCTTTGATAAATACTTACACTGTGAACAGGTCAACACTGCATTGTTAGGCAGAAGCAGTTCTATGGGTTTTGTGTGTGTGTGTGTGAAGCGCCACGGTGTGTTTGAAGCTCCTAGATCAAAAGCTATTGTGGATGTTTGGACCAACCTCCAATCCTAATTACATACAAGAGGGAGGAAAGAGTGGTTTTGGACAGGTGGGCGATCTCGGCTGGCCTGCACACTGACAGCCCGAGCGAGAGAGCGCCCACTAAATCCTCTGCGCCTCCAGCTCTCAAATAATGGACGAGGACTGCTGTGGGCCTTCCCCCCAGCTCATTTTATTCTGCTTACTAAATCTTAAAATTTGTGGCAGACAATGCATTCTTAACAGTGAATAATGAAGGGCTGCGCAACCCACAGGGCACTAAATTTGTATAATATGTGTTTTTTTTATGAGTAATGATACATCAACTGATTATTACGGATTTCAATGAAGTCAAAATAATAGTAATAGTATCCAGTATATTTAGGGACTGCAATGAAATTCTTTATTGAGCTTGACAGAATAACTGTCATCTTGTTTTTCTCCGTGCGACAGCCCCTCAGTTGGTTAAATTCCAGCAGTTTGGGTGCATGAAGACAACGTATGGTCGACAAACACTGTTAGCTAAAAGTTGTTGTGGAATAAATGCAACTAGGCATATGAAAGCATTGACACGCAAAGTTAAGATCTGCGCACTGGAAAGATGAATTCAGTAGAAATTGCTCCTGCTGTTTCGGAATAATTGTATTCCGATGAACTGGGCAACGGTTGACGAGGAGGACTGTACCCTCGGCTGCTGTACAGTTCCCTTCAACAGGCAGGAACTGTTGCAACAACCTGGCTGCACAGCAGTCACTAAACGGAACCCATTACTATGCAGATTATATTGTCTGTCCACAGTGCGCGTGTGTGCGTACGAGTTGGTAGATCTCGGCTACGAGTGATGGCTTCCAACAGGCAGGTCCATCTGTCACCGTGGTGACGGTGCCTGGTGACCGTAGGGAACCGACAGGCAGTCTCCAAGGAGTGAAAGGCTCACATCAGCTGTGTACATCAGCGGCCAGGATGTGACAGGCCTGCAGAGTACAGCTTTATTTAGCTTCCTCTAGGTTTGTTTGTGTAAACAGTGAAATTAAATGTGACAGAGGAGCGTACCAGTGTAACTAAATAGATGGCAAAGATGACTGAGGAGAGTCTGCATGCAAGAGGTAAAAAAAAAAAAAAAATGATGGAACATAACTGTTATTCCTGCAAGGAAGGCCATGGTGCTTTATTATTAAAAGAAATAGGTCCTAGGAGTGTCTTTTTCCCTGCACTGTGCCTTTTTTCTTGTGGTATGGGTGAAATCCCCTCCTCCACCAAATGCACACATCCACCCAGAGGAGACCCCAGCGCAGATTATCTGCAGAGCATTGTCATAGAAACAAAGGATGGTGCAATGGTGGAGATTTATAACTCGCCCAATAGCTACAGAGGTGTAAAGACATGGGAGATCAGTGTGTGTGTGTGTG